TGTACAACGTATGTACTACATTGTGTGATTATCAAGGTGCTAGGACGACTGGTGCCAGTAGATGTAGCGTTCAACGTATGTACTACATTGTGTGATTATCAAGGTGCTAGGACAACTGGTGGCAGTAGATGTAGTACACAACGTATGTACTACGATGTGTGATTATCAAGGTGCTAGGACAAATGGTGCCAGTAGATGTAGTACACAACGTATGTACTACATTGCTTGATTATCAAGGTGCTAGGACGACTGGTGCCAGTAGATGTAGCGTACAACATATGTACTACATTGTGTGATTATCAAAGTGTTAGGACGACTGGTGCCAGTAGATGTAGCGTACAACATAACACTTTGATAATCACACAATGTAGTACATAGTACGACTGGTGCCAGTAGATGTAATGTACAACATATGTACTACATTGTGTGATTATCAAAGTGTTAGGACGACTGGTGCCAGTAGATGTAATGTACAACATATGTACTACATTGTGTGATTATCAAAGTGTTAGTACGACTGGTGCCAGTAGATGTAGTGCTTATTGCATCACCGGTTTGTACACTTGGAGATGGTAGCTAGGAGTTTGAAAACATGACTGAAAGGGTGTTGCTACCCTTACTTTCTGAGCTACAGGGTTTTGTTTGACCATGCATACAAATCCTTTTGTCTTCCCTGTCATTGATGCTGTCATTCGTGTGCAAGCACTCAGGCCATTTTTCCAATGCAATTCTCCCTCCTCAATATAGGCCATTGTCAACCTGAATGTTTCTTCTCCATTCATGTTACTTGGTAGCTATTTGTAAATTTAAAAAAATTCTTTTATACCATCTCTGTCAATATACCTGATGTTAGTCAACAGCTGAGCATCACCACTAATGTCTGCTGGCTCATCAAGCTGTAATCGAGATTTTCCACATGATCTTATTTTTCCTTGAACAACAGTTTCAATATCAGCAGCTATGTCATCAATCTAGTGACTGATTGTATTGTTTGCTTCTAAACCTAACATTACTCTGACAGTTTCTTTGCATGTTGGTAAAATAGATTCATCAACTATAGGTGGAATTTTTCCCTTCACAAAAAGCTCACTAACCAAGCACTTTATCTGACACAATTACACTGTCTTTCATGATTCGTACATGTTTCATTTTGTTCATTAAAACACTTGAAAAAATGTTAATACTTGTTGGCAAGAGATGTTTTCATTGCTAAAGGGTTTTGTTTTGTATGTTTTGCAGTGTTCTTGATTCTATGTTAAAGGTTTTTTCTGTCTTTTGATTTTATTCTACTGGGTAATGATTGATTTGTTAAAGGATTGAGATGTCTGTGTTTTCAGGTGTGAGAGAAAGTTAATACACTCCTTGGCCAAGTGTGAGTTTAAAGTTCATTGGTTTTAAAGTTAAAATTAATTGTTGGCTTGATGACAAGTATGATGTAAGGAAGAGAGGTGTCGCCATCACCCCAAATACACCACTACTTCTATTTGAATGAGAATAACCAGTCTTGTGAGTGGCACTAGTCGTTACAGCCTTACCTTTGTTTGAATAATATCATGCAGTTCTATCTTCTTGTATTAGATAAGTATTCATTCAGAATTTATAATTTATTCTGTATGTGTGCAGGTTTCATATAATGCATGGTAACGAAAGCTGTAAAGTTAATTTTGTTCTTACTACCTTTTGTTATTTTCAGGTCGATAATACCTTTTGTGTCCATAGGCAGAATTGTTGCACAACTGTACTTTGTGCAAGGACGTTGACAGCAGCATCCTTCAGTTGATATCTTGAGACTACGGCCTCACCTACGTTCAGTGACATATCTAGGATTTTAGTTTGGGAGGGGCCCCAACCTACAAAAATAGAGAGACAGCAACCTTTAAAAAATGTATTGTAGCATGTGAGAAAGTGAAGCAATTCCTAAATGATTTTTTTAAAGAATAGACACGTTCTGGCCAGGATGTGTCATTTCAGCCAATTTTTACTAATATAACCCCATATACTGTTGAGTTTATCAGATGTGCTTCCATTCATGGGGGCCAATCTGCAGACATAAAAGTTCTGGTTAAAGAGAATTGTTCACTATATATGTACAAATATATATAATTTTAAGATATAATCTTTACATTATTTAAAATTTTCTAGACTTTTAAAGCAAATTTTAGCCAAATATTGTATTAGAATCATCTTGTTATATCAAAACTTCAAAATTACTTGCATATCATATACAGCATCAATTATAACAAAATGAAATCAACACAACTGTGATACCCACTTAGCGAATAAGGTTTAGTTGAACACTTAGAGTGACACTCACCTCTTTTTTCTGGACTACTTTGTAGTCCAGAACATTCTCTCATGTCACATAAATGTTGATTGAGGGTTATATGTGCCAAACCATTAATCAATTTCACGTCCACCGTACTCTGTAAATATGTTTTAAGACATTATATTGTATAAGTTTTAATTCCTTAATTTCAACAGGAAATATTGAAATAAATTTTACAATTTCTGCTTTCTAACTACCCCCTATGTGATGTCCCAAGTTTAACGAAAACTAAATGTTTATAGTATAGCTGCACTACACCAAAAAAACAACAAGCCAAATGTATGTATTAATTTTTTATTTTTTTTATTGTTATTAAAGTAACTAGAATGTACAAATTTGAAATCATTGGGTGAAATAAGAAGAAAAAAGTAATAGAAAATTATAATATTTTTCTGTAAGGTTTGAACACAAGGTGCTCGTGAATTTGCATAATTGGTTTTAAATCTTCATTAAACCTAGATCCTTTGAACTAATACAATTTGCTCAACATTAACATTATCTAAGCAGGTTTAATCTTGTCAATCTGGTCAAATGAGAAGTTAGCACTTGGCCAGATTGACAAGATTAAACCTGCTTAGATAATGTTAATGTTGAGCAAGTTCAGTTAGTTCAAATGATCTACGTTTAATGAAGCTACAACTCATATTAGAATTTGTAAATTCACAATAACAATATACATTTTCTTAGAATCATGATTCAATGAGAAGAATGGAATGATCTTTTATGAATCCTCACATTATACTTGCATCAAAATATAAGTAAATAATAAGAAAAAAGACTGAGAGCTAAGATTTTGCTACTACCTATGTTTGAATAAGAATGATCAGTCACCTTGGTAGCACTAGTCGTTTTGGGTAAATATTACATTTCTTAGACATCCTGCTACATGGATTCAGCTGTATCAGTAAAAGTGATTATCCCATATCACTAAAATAAGTCCATACAATGTGTTTGTGTCAAGTCTTTGCAGACTAAGTAGTGAGATTTTATCTTGTAAGGTCTTAAACACATGGAATTTTCCTTCAGACAATTTGTGTAAAGTCTAAGCAGTTTTTTAAGTGTTATTAAAACATTAAATTTTATTTTCAATTTACTTAAACTCTTATTGTAAGGTAAAAGATTATTGAATATTGAAATAAGTTTTTGTGATATCCTTTAAATTCATTGTATTAATTCTTACAAATTTTTTGCAATTATTATAATTTTTTTTTCTTGGAGCATTCTTATCAGCAAGTAATTTTCCCATTTGTTTAATGAACATCATGAATTGTCAACAAAAACCTAAAACAAATACACCAATAGCAGAATACAATCTAGAATTTAAGTGAATTTCGTCTTTTTGTGGGGGATAATTGTCAGATGAGAAATAATTTTACTTAGAGTTATTAAGGTGGGTTGTTTTAAATTACGACAAGTAGCAAAGTTATTATAATCCCAAAGTTTTATTATAATTAAAAAAAAAAAATATCTTGTGTTGTCTGACTTTGGGAGGAAATTTCAAAAAGAGGCTTCTTGAATTTTGTTTTGAAATATAACACTATTTAATGTTGTCTTTTTTATATATATATTTATTTATTTTATACTTTATTCTTGTACAGAATAAATTACTTGAAGTACAACTTCAGTATGCCAGTTCAGAAATAAGAAAACTTCAAAAAGAAAGGAACTCCAGTAACGAGAGTTTGTCTCAAATGCAGAACAAGGTGAACCTCGCCTCATCACAGTCTCAGCCAAGTGTTGGTAATACTGTACAACATTTGGCTTCTTCTGCATACAGTGTGACTATGATGCTACCGCATGAAGCAATGGACAATATTTTTAATGTTGGTAAGATTGGATTTTAATTTATGGTTTACACTTGAGAATGTCTACACACTGTTATAGATACATATATAAATACAAACATACAAAGTAGAAGAAACTAAAAATGTCCAGCTAGGTTATATGTTGGAGTATAAATATATGTTGAAAATTTACTTGAAAGATAGATCTAGACTGAGTGATTGTAAGTTTAGCCATAAAGTGCATATACAGGTTGTTTTAAAGTGAAATCATCACAGATTATATTGTAATAACAGAGTAGAGAAGAATAATTTGTCTTGTCAAGTTGTGTTCTAAAGTAGTTCAACGATCTGTGTGGACCTTGATGAAAAAAATATAATTATTTAAAGCTCTGGATACAACTGTGGTAACTAAAAGTTAGTGGTGATTTTAAAGTGAATTTGTCACATATTGTAATAACAGAGCAGGAAGAGTAATTCATCTTGCAAATTGTATTCTAAAGTAACTGAACCACCTTGTGTGGACTTTGACAAAAAAAAGAGACAATGATTTAAAGCTCTGGATTACGACTGTGATAATCAACAGTGTAATGAACATTTGTATATACATTTGACTTGTTGAAATATATTATTTTAAAACAAATGGATTGTGTGCTGTTTGTTTATTGTTGAAATTTCTTGCTAACAAGTCACAGACACCTACTGTAAAGAATCTGACCCATTCATAAAACCTGCCCTCAGGGCCCTCCTTCCTCTGGGTTTTACCCACATGCATCATCTTTCAGTGGGTTTTAATTGACCAATGGAGTTTTGTTTGGGATCCCTTGGAGGCTCCTCTTACCCTTACCTCTCCATTACTGATGGACTTTGCCTGGTGGATAGATTGGATCAATACTACCGTGGAGATTCCCCTTCTTCTGCCTTTTCTAGATTGTAACCTTTTTACTAATGCTTCCCTTTCTAGTTGGGGAGCATGTCTTGATGATCAGGAAGTTTTGGAATGATGGACTCTTAGAGAATCTGCTCTCCCTATCAATATCTTGGAGCTTCTTGCTGTTCAGTGAGCTGTTCTTCACTTCCTGCTTTCTCTTTGGGACAGGTGGTGATGATTTACTTGGACAATTCGGTGGAGCTGTCCTATATCTTCATGCAAGGAGGCATCTGGTTGAGGGACCTCTGTCTTCAGACATTGTATTTCCTTTATTGGGCCCACAGCCATCATACTACTTATCTGACATGCTATATTTTGGGTGCCATGAATCTGATTGCGGATCAGTTATCAAGACCCGACAAGATTCTACCAATGGAGTGGTCTTTGGATCCTGTCGATTTTCAGGAGTTGTGTGCTCGTCTTGGTATGGATGCTCGTATTCCTGTCCAGTACCCGTTTATGAGGTGAAAGGTAGAGGACCCTCTTCATATCATGGATCTGATGTACAATTCCAGATGCCACCAAATGTTGGTTTAGGTCGAACTCCCATTTACGGCCTCTTGTGCCCTAGCCAACTACACCTTTGCTGCTGATAACATTTTAGGGACCATCCATGTTTTCATCCTTTCAGCTTTTGGCAATACATTCCTGTAGGGTGAGGAGTCTACCTGGCTCAGAAGTGGTGCGGTCTACCACTGGTGAGATGTTTTTCATTCCTCACCACACTTCGTGATTTTACTTCAGGTGCTTTCTCAAGAAGGATCATATTCTTCACCAGTTCAATGTGGGATTCTAGCTTTTTGTGAGATGAGGTAAGATATTGTAATGGAAGGTATAATTTTCTTAAATTGTAAATATATTTCCAATTAAATTCCTCATCTCACATTTCCTATCTGTCCTCCCCACATCCAATGTATTGGTTGACTTGCTCATGGCCAATCTCGAAGTGGTTAACAGGTGCAGTATTATAGAGAGTGCTAGTTATGATAGGGGTAGTGTTGCACTCCAATTGGTGGAAGGTTGCTGCATTATCTTTTGCATTTAGATATGTAGAAAGAAGTGGGAAAAAGAAGACTAGTGGTGAGCGAAAAATTTGGGTTGATAGAAGGCAGTACTAATCAAGGAAGCTTTTTGTGAGAGGAAGTAAGTATCTATTTGGACATACATTTTCAGATTAGGAAAATGTTAACATTATTGTGTCCAGAAGATGGCATTGAAACATGTGCTTTTAAAGTGGAAGCTGTTGACAGCTTCAATAAAGTTTTTAAAATTGTGTAAATATTAAACATTGCTTTTAATTATTTATTAAATTTTAAATAATATACAAGTGCCGATCGTTCACCAAGTGGTTTACAACTTGTAATGGCATGAATACTAGTTTGACGGGTGTTGTTGTTTTTTGTGGTTATGAGGTCAGTTAAATTGACCAGTCTAGTATAAAGTTAAGGAAGAGAAAATTGCAGATAAAATATAAATTTTTACTGAGAAAATAACCTTTGAAATTTATTTTTAAATAAATTTTTAATCTTAATGTGGAAATCACTTAGTACTCAGACTAGTATATAGAAATACTACATATATATATATTCATGGACAAATCTTTAATAAAAAATACTTCATTAAAAAGTCTGATTCTTTTGTGTACAAAAGACTTATAATATTTACTAAAAGTCTGCCAAATTTTGGGAACATACACACATTTTATTAAAAGATATGGTATGGAAACTGTAATGAGTGAGTGCAAAAGATCGGTCGATTCGACTTACCTGATTGAGAGAGAGTTGGGTAATTTATTTGAATTTTTACATATGACTTCTTTTAAATTATCAAAAGTTGGACACTGTGCATGTTGTGAAAGCTGAAATCCCCATCTTACACCATTTTTCATATCTTCTGAAGTGCCCGATAAACACTTGTTAAAAACAGCATGTTCCATGATATTTTAACTTGTTACATTCCTTTACTTCACT